AATTGTCTCTGGCATAAAACGAGAATACTGATAAATACTAAGTTTTATGAAACAATCAGAAAATCGGAAAGGAATTAAGTGTTAATTTTGACAGACAAAAGATATGGCATAGTTAAATAAATATATACTTAATATTTATGTAACATTCTAGATTTTTCTTGAGCATATGTATTGATTTAGTTTTTAATTTTGTACATATGTAATCCTTGTAAAAATCTTCACTGCCTATCTTTTTATAAATATTCGAAAACCGGTTTAAACCGGTTTTGTAGAAAAGCTGAGATTCGAAAACCGGTTTTTGTATAAACCCTAAACCCACCCATAATATTTCATAAGATATTTAGTTACAAAACTAGAAATTTTATGTCGAATGTTCAATATTATAAATTTTGGTTCAACATGAGAAAATATAATGCGTATTATATTCGAGATAAATGAAATTGTTGCAAACTGATACACATTTGTTCGCAGGTGCATTTCATCTATAGGTTAATTAGGTATTTCATTACATTGTAAATCGAAATCGATTACAAAGATCTGAAGATCCTGTGCATGTTAACACTCCCCACCCTCACACTGCGACGCAAGGAATACAAATAAGGAGCGCAGAATAATAAAGACAAAAGTTTTATGTATTTTACGGAAATTGTATGGGTAAACTAGTTGGGGAAACTTCTGGCGTCGCGACGCTAAATAAATTGTCGAATGTAAATATTTGCGTTCCCGGCGAATCCATTAAAATTGGTCCGCGAAAGGAAAATAATAAATATTTTAATTTTGAAGAATCCGCGCAAACAAATTCCGTGATTTATTACCATTTTATATAGAAAAATCAGTACTTTTTCGTTTATTTTTTTTTACATTTAATGACAATAATCTTTAAGATCTGCAGTTTTCTTTTATATATATCTTAATAATAAACAAAGTTTTAGTGCAAACATGACTAGTTCAGTTAAGTTTCGCGTAATTTATAAAGGCTTTAAATCGTCTCTTAATGTTTGGAGGTTTTGTGAACGGAGGTAACTTAGAAGGATTGTGAGAGATACAAAAAAAAAACAGATGAATTTGGTTGCTAAGATACAGTAGTCATGTCCCACTTTCTGGCTGCCCTTCAGGAATGAATTATGTGACAATGTAATTGCATGTTGTTGTTTGTTGTGTGAACGTCTCTGTTGTGCTGCAACGTGTTTGGTGGGCCTAGGCTGACCTAAGCATGCCAGGCTGGTGCATGTAACATGTGCGTTAAAGTTCCGTCCATTATAAACTTTAAACGGTTTTTCATTCGGATTTCGTGTTGCGAACGAAACCTGAATTCTTCGACGCTTTCCCGTATGTTTTCATTGTGTCCGAAAGCCTCGCCCCTCTTCCCACTCTCAACAAAATTCGAACCAATTCATGGTTTGATGTACCAATAAATTCAGCAAAACACGAACGCAAAGAAAAACCCTCCAGTCAATATAACAAAATGAAACATTTTATTTCAAAATTCAATCATCGCTAAAACGAAACTATTATCACAATTGAAGCAAAGAAAAATAGCAATTATCAGCAAATTTATTAAATTTAGTCTAGTATAATATTTTCCAAATTCTAATTGTCAATTAATTTCTTAATTTAAATTTCCATCTTCTACAATTATCTTTAATTATAATTATTTGCAAAATCTAATCATAATTTTTGTTTTTGTATTCTTTTTACATTTTATCTCAAAAACCCACAGGAAAATGGAAATATTAAAATGATTATTACATCTTTTCGATTCTGATTTAATAAAATTAAACTTATGAAATCATAATTGATTTTTAAAGGAAATTTTAATATTTGGAATAAAATTAATGTTTTTGTTTAATTTGTTTTATATGTTGCAAATTAATTAAATTTATTGAATTTTCTTTGAGAATATGTTTATACATTGAATTTGAATGATATAATATATTTATTAACCGTAGGAGTGCGCAGAGAATGCGGTTTGTTACAATTGATTCAATGGTCAATAAATTAATTGTAGCGATTCTATCAAGTCTAACGTATGTAACTGCTATATTTGAATCGCATTAATAAGCTTGTAATTTCTCTCTCTCTTTATTTAGGTGCACGTGCCTGGAGAGAGGTTTGCGTTTGACCAGAAACATCCTCGGCGACAGAATATTTTATTAGAATGGACAAATGTTTGCACAAAAACCCATTTACCATGTGCCCGCAACCTCCGGTCGCAAGATAATTACGACGGATAATTAGGGAACCAATTACCGCCTGGCCTCGCAAAGTTTCGTATATCACCATAAAACCACCGCCACCTTTGACCTCAAGAAATTACACTCCTAATTCGAAATGGATGGAAGCCCATTATACAACCAATTATTAAAATTTTTCACATCAAAAATGTATTTTATATATTATCACTTACTACACATTACATTAGATTTGTATACTTGTAATGTAATATTTTCACAATTGGTGTTGAATGTTCGTGTTTGTCCAATTTTGAAATATTTCATAATCGTATCAACATATTTTAGTTTCTTGTTGATTTTATGAAATTTTCAAATATTTTTTTATATTTATTATATAATATAAGACAGTGCCGTCTCTTTTGATTTTGAGGCAACGGGTATACATATGGAGTGAGGAACCCTCAGTAAATAAAAAAAAATATTATTGTCAAATTTTCATGGATAAAAAAAACTCATTGATTTGTATTAAATCTGAAAAAATAGTTATTTTATTATAAACTAGATTTTTTTTTAAATTTTACATTTAAAATGAATTATTTTAAAATTATTAAGAAAAAAATAAATTAAAGATAATATTCCACAGCTATAACAAATTCGAGAATAATAATTCAACAACCATTCTATGCCCTGAAGCATACATTAGTAAACTTAATACTGTTATCTCTTGATTTCCAAGGAAAGTATCAGTTATTCTAAGTCGAGGGTTAAATTCAATAAGCGACGGTGAGTGAATTAATTAGGAAATATGAACTGGCATTAAGTATCACTAATGGTATTTATCGTGTCAAACGTGCGAGCGTAATAAAAAGTTTTATTGCGAAAGTTATCAACGTAGTGAGTGTAATTGCGTACGGGGGGAGTCGGATCGAGAGGAAAGTTTTAAAAGTGTATCGGTTTCCTATTGTCCTCAAAACGAACTTTTCTGCTTAACGGACGATGATGTTTTATTGGAGTCGAGTGTTAATTACTTGCACGTAGTGAGTTTAATTTTTTTTTTCATGTAAGGTCAAGGTTGATGATCTACAATGATGATGAAGGATATAAGGATCTTTAATTGGTGCCACCAATTGTTGTACAGCAATCGTGGAAACACGAGGAGATATGGACCATTAATTGATACGACCAATTGTGGTATTGCGATCGAGGAAATACTTTCTGTTAACCCATAGAGTGCGTGTTTATTTATCTATGGTCAAGGTTAGTTCGGAGATGCAGAGATGATGTGCTAGAAGAGCGACGTGTTTAAAAATAAACGCACCAATTTTGCAATTGATTCGTGAATAATTCGCAGGCAGCTCCGAACAAAAATGGACTATTTTTATTTTCGATTCAAATCGCAATTATCGGGGATGCTTTATTTCGGATGTACCCTGCAAATTGTTCTTGCATTTCCAAGCATAGTTCAATGTGCACTATCCAATTGGAATCTTTATCAATACTCCAATTAATTATACAGTTGGTTCTCTTTTTATGCGATAGATACGTTCCACAGGAAAACGCATAAAAATAAATCGCACAAAAAAGGACAAGATACATGTCTAAAAATAAAGGATACGTTCCATATTCTTTTAAAACCGCATAAAACAAAATTAATGAGTTCAATATACCGAAAATCGCATAAAAAAGAGATTAATAAATTTCAGACAAATAATTAGTCTTATTATATTCTTTCTGAAATGTTTATTCATAACTTTATAAAAACGTTAACAATTATACAAGTTTATTAAATTTCAGAAAAATATAATCTTAACATATTCCTTCTAAATTTATACGGAAAAATTTTACAAAAAAAAAAACAGAAATTTTTTATGAAAATTAATCTTTCTTCACATTTTTTTCTTTAGAATTAACGCCGCTATATGAGGGTGTTCGGTATAATTTTCGAACTGGTTTGAAATCACTTTAATCAGTAGAAGAGTTAATCAACATATCAGATCTATGTCCTGAAGATAATGATTCTTCACAAGTAAAATTAATCTCAACTTCGCATGTTGATTTTTTCCCTTTGACAATATAATCAGTTATTAAACTTTGCGATGGTTTTGCTATTTTTTTGTAAAATTTGTTGATATCCAGAAATGCAATTCTGAAGCTCGCGTTGAAACTTGAATGCTCATTCAGAATAATCATCTTTTTTGATGAAATGGTTTGCCAATTTGTGTCAAAATTGCCTAAAATAGTTATTTAAAAAAAAATTCTTCTTGAAATAAAAACCGAATAACTTCAAAACCGCGTAAAAAGAATACGAATAAAAAGAGGACCGAGTGTATATAAGTAGCCTTTCCCATATAAACTGGATATGTCTAAATAATTGCATTTGTTTACCATTTCGTTTTAATTCCTTATTCTATTCCACAGTATAATGAAGAAAAGCCATAGGAGATTCAAAATATATTAAATTGAACTTTGTCTACGTTATTTTTTTCTCTTAGCATTTTAGCAGTTCTTGGAATTTGTTTAACTATATATAATTGTATTTCAGCCACAAAATGCCACAGCAAATAAATTAAATTAAAATTTGTCTATGATAAAATGCAGAATAAATTGGTACTTTTATTTATTGGATTTTCTTGGGTTATAACAAATGTTGCTTGTATTCAGATAAAAAATATATAAAAAAAAGTCTATAAAGTTCGTATTTTTCAATTTGTAATAGGTAAGAAAAAAATATAGGTTTTGTTTGTGATAGGTGGTATTGAGTTATTTTGCGGCGATCGCCGAGTGACGAAAAGGGAGGTCTGTGCAATTAAGTCGGAGAACAAGCAGGCTTGTTGTTCAATTGTCCAATTTAGTGACCCACATGACGGTCAGAGGTTGGCTTGACGCAACCAGGGCCACCATAGGAGACCGCATCGCAGTCAGAAGTCGCGAATAACAACCGAATGGTGCGTGGTGAGCCGTTTCTGGCGCGGATGGCGCCGTCCAGGAACAAGCGGTTCCTGCTATTCCTCATCATCTCTTTCGCCTGGACCACGTGGAATACAGATAAATTTGCCGCCGAAGGTAAGAGAAAGAATAACATAGCTCCACAATAGAAACTTTCGTCCTACAAAACAATAAAACAGGGATTTGCTAAAAAGGAAACGGTGCCGTGGAAAATTTGAGTACAGAGTCAAGATCAATATTAAACTAAATCACATTGTACTCGTGGACACAATAGAATACTTTAATATCCATTCAGCTCGCATGCACGGGCTTAATAAGTTGCGCATTCTACATAAGCTAATTGCGTCACATGTTTTAATTAAATTAATCAGTTTGGTGGAAAGGCTTTAATTGTTTTCTGGGATAGGTAGGAAAGGCGTAGGTCCAGGTAATCAGGATTGGGGCTACGTAACAGTTAGACCTAATGCCCACATGTTCTGGTGGCTTCATTACACCACAGCCGATGTGTCGCATTTCACGGATCGCCCATTGATCCTTTGGCTTCAAGGTAAAAATATATTCTGCTCTAATCCGAAGATGTCATGTACGCGTTTTTCAGGTGGACCGGGAATGCCTTCGAGTGGGTACGGAAATTTCTTGGAGATTGGTCCTGTAGATTTAGAGTTGAACGAACGAGAGCACAGCTGGGTGAAAGACTTCAACATACTGTTCATTGATAATCCGGTAGGAGTCGGGTTCAGCTACATCTCTAACAACGCCACTCCGATGGTCACGAACAACGTGGAGATCGGCAAGGATCTGGTGGAACTGCTTCGCGTCCTCTTGGACCGATTCGACGACTTCAAAACAATTCCCATGTACATCTTCGGAGAGTCGTATGGTGGCAAGATGACCGTCGAGTTCGCGCTGCAGATACACAAAGTGATTTTACCGTTTCCTTACCCTAATCATCGTGTTTATCTGAATAACTTTATATTGCAGGAGATAGGGCAGGGCAAGCTAAGAGCGAATTTGCAGGGCATCGGTCTCGGAGACTCCTATATATCACCGATCGATTACATCATGAACTACGCGCCTTACGCTTTAAACCTAGTAAATAATATCTCGGTTAAACTTACGAAATTGATTGTAATGCATCTCTTTGTCTTCTCGAGGGTATGGTCGATCGGCACGGATTCAAGGTTATAGATGACCTGGCCAAGCAGATCAGGGTGCTGATAAGTCGAGGCGATTACGTGGAGGCTTCCAAGGTGGAATCAAAAATTACGGATGCCGTCATCGAGTACACCGAAGGCATAGACATCTACAATATCCTGTTCCATTCCAATCGCACCTCTCTACCCAGTATATTGCGAACTATACAGCATAGAGTTTATTCGTTAATCTTTGTTTGCCGCAGGATTCCTCAGCTACCAGGACAACTGCAACGAGTTCATGAACGGACACATCAGGGAAGCGCTGAACATTTCCAAGGAAGTCGAGTGGTCCTTCATCAATGACGACATCTACAGCTCACTCTACGGAGACCTTATTAAGCCAGTCACGAAAACCGGTAAGTCCTGCATTATTTTTTTCCCTTAACAACACGTAATAACTCTTTCTGTTTTTTTTTTGCAGTCGAAGAGATACTCAACAACACCGACATTAAAGTGATCGTCTACAATGGAATGTTCGATTTCATCGTCAACACTCCCGGTAAGCTAATATTTACTTTACATCAAATCCAATCACTAAATCTTTCAAACATTATAAATTTATATACTTACTTTAGTACATAAAGTAATTACACAATAATGAAGAAAATAAATTTAGAAATATGTTGCCAGTACATATACACATTTTACATGAAAATTGAAAGTCATAATTGTTAGTGAATTTTTTCTAGTTATAATATTTGATTAAGTATTTTAAGAGAATAAAAATATGACAAAAATAACTACAAAAATATTCTAAATATAATTTGATTAATAGATTTTATGCTTTTTCTAATTACATTAATTAATTGAAGAAATCAAATGAAATGTTTATATTTTCTGGATTAATTATAAACTGAAGTGATAATTAATTATATTATGATAATATAAATCAACTTATTTACACAATTCCAATAGTAAAATGTAATATATGTATTTAATAATAAACCAAATTGAAAAACAAGTTCATCAACATTAATCCATTGAAATATCACAATAACAAAAATATTTTTGTTTTTCTTAAATTTGTTAATCCGCTTAAAATAACAATTTTTACATAAATTTTTAGATATTCTTGGAACAAAAATATTTCTTTTATATTGAAGACAATTGAAATATTGCAGAATATTCAATCAAGTTTACATAATTTTCATAGAAAGATGTATAATGCACCTTACATTTGTCATTTATAATAAAATACAACACACTTTTTTTTTGCTGGTACAAAAAAAAATACACATTCCAATTATGATTTTTCTCTTGCGAAAGTGAATGCTTTGACATCAAAGTGAAATGCCAGACACGTCTTGTCCAAAACATCTTCTACATTAGACCCGGAGCAGAGCACGTCTCATTCTTGCGCCGGAGATTTCTCATATCCATTGAAATCTCTACCAGACGTATTGCGTAATAATGAAAATATGCACTACACCGTTGAAATAGTTGTCACATTTGCATTACTCCGTTTATATTGTATTATAAAACATAGGAAATATGCTGCATTTAGTTTGAGTTTGAATTATTTTAATAATTAGTCGCATTTCCATTATTTTATTATATTAAATATCTCGTGTTTCTCATGCAAAATAATGTAAAGTATTCACTGAATTTTAGAGCAGAATTTGTATGTTTTTCACGTAGATTCATTACTGACTCAACAACTTAAACTCAGTCTATATATTTTATTCCTCCACATAAGGAACCCTTTTTTTTTTCTCATAAAAATTATAAAGGAAAAACCAACAATAATAAACTATGGTCCACATGTATTTTTTCTTTCTCGAAGCTTTTGCAACCTCCATTATTCTTATTTTATTTTCGACCCACATTTATTACCCCTGTCTGTATAAGGTGAATAAAATAATGATAGTGTATTACGTTTTCTAGTGGTAGCGCTTATAAATTTTCAACACCTCGATTTTCTTCTCAAGCCACTCGCATCCCTTCCATATTTTATAATAAATTGTATCCTGTATTTTTTATGAGCCTCACCCATGCCAAAAAAAATTACTCATATTATACTAAATATAACATCATTTCCCGCACCTCGCATTTATTATTCATTTAAAAAGGCATGAAAGAACATTCAATTTATTACTAGAGTTATAAATTATTTTTGAAGGTCTAGGTGAAAGGTTATATTTTAATTCGAATTTTCTAAAATATATACAGTGGAACCTCGATTAACGACTTTAATCCGTTCCAAAATTTCCGGATTTTTACTCGTATAATGAAATACTCGTATAGTGAAACGGGTCTATATCGCAAGCCGACAACCGAAAGACTGTGTACCGAAATCCCGACTATATCAAAATCTCGACAACCATAATCCCGACTATATTATAAACCCGACTATATCAAAATCCCGACTATGTCGAAAATTTTTACAATAACTTTTTTAAATTATTTCGGAGCGTAGTCACTTTGTGCTACACTTTTATTATAAATAACAATAAATTATTATTAATTTATTTGATTTTGTTGAATTATTCATAATAAACCTTAACATTATGAAATAATGCCGGTTGTCGGGATTTTTATATAGCTGGGATTATGGTTGTCGGGATTACGAACATAGGAATTTCGATACAGTCGGGATTTCAACGGTTGTCGGGCTTGCCACCGTAGTAAAACACATTCAAAAATAATGTAGAAAGCGCGCAATCCGGGACTTCTTTTCTCATAGTCACTCCAGACATTTTTCTTACAATTCATATTTTGCTCGTTAAGCGAGGTTCCACTGTATATTATTATATAATTCAGTTGAAGTCAACTTTCACTGAAAGAACTCATTTTTGACTATAGTAATAAGTCTGAAACACAAATTTCATAGATTTATAATTAAAAATAACATGTTTTCAACTTATTGAATTCATTTTAAAGTATTTATTAACTTCACTTCACGAATTCTTACTTTTCGATAAATTAATTCGTAATTACTTTGTTTTACATTGTTTCTGTGTGTTAACTTATATATTTCCGATGACAATTAAAATCCCAACAATCATAATTCCGACAGTATCAAAATCCCGACAACCATAATCCCGACAGTAACAAAATTGCAATGGTGTTTTTTATGTTTTTATGTAGACTTATTCATAATAAACCTTAACAATAAGAAATACTATCTGGATTATGATTGTGGGGATTTTGATACTGTCGGGATTTCAATATAGACCTATATATTTCATATCTACTAATATTTTAACGGAATTTCTATGATTTATAATTATTATCTCAGTCTGAAAGAATCATACTTTCACTAAGTACTAATAACATATATCAAATATTGAATTAATTTTATTAATATTTGTTTGTTTTATAAAGCAAATTGATAGATTTATTTAAAACTAAGCTTGAAAGAAACATACCAATCTATTACTAACTACTAATACCTTGTATAAAGACTTGAATAATTGAATTAATATCATAACTAAAGTTTCAAAATATTTTTTTCTCAATTAAACAGCAAGTTGGTTGTTTGTAATTAATATCGTATTTATTTAAAGTTTAAATACTTTTGAATTGAATTTGTATGTTACATAATTGCACATTGCATTTATGAGCAAATGTAATTACGTAGTTTATTGTTTATGCAGGGACGGCGAATTGGTTGGATAATTTGAATTGGGAGGGTAAGGAGCGTTGGAGGAAAACGCTGCAGGAGTCATTCGAGATTGGGACGGTCCACGAAGGATACATGAAGCGGGTGGACAATTTGGTATTCTACACGGTTCTCAGGGCAGGACACAGTGTGAGTAGTAGTAGTGGCAGTATGTGTGCGGATGATGATGATGGGCTTGGGATGAGAGAAAGGGTGGATTCTTCCACCCTTTGAAACATTCATGCATTTTATCTGTTCTCTTTCTGTCGTTGTGGTAACATATAGGTCCCCATCGACAACGTGGTTGCAATGGAGGAGATCCTGAGCAGGGAATTATTAACATCCTCGCCCGCTTTCGAGTCCAAACTATCAAGGATACACTTCGCAGATCCTTGGCGAATCTAAATTAATTTTCTATTATTTAATTTTATCGTCTTGTTGCGCTCTCTTATTTCTGTCGGCTCCTCGCATTCCCTTAGCAATTTGCAATAATTACATCCACCAAATGCGAGAAGATCACGAGCCAAGAATGAACTATACGTGGAACTAAATTATATGATCAAGGGTGTGCAACACGTTTCCATCCTTTAACGTTATTTCAAATATATAGATCGAATATAGTTTAACCTTTCTTTGTAAATAGTATATATATATATATAAAAAAGGATGGAAATTAGATGGACACTAGTAATATTAGGTAAAAACGGGCACATAAGATATTTTTATATATAGTTATTTAAATTAATAATTAATGTATTTAGTTATATAATTATATAAAGCTTTAATAAACTTTGTTATTATACTATAAAAAAAAAACTATATTTTTTCAATGAAATCGTATAAATAATTGTTCGTTTAATTATTTCACGTTAATCATATTTACTTCATTCAAAATATTAGTTTAATAAATAACATAATTTATTCAACGTTACATTGACATATATATTCAATAATTCACTCGAGTTTTCAAATAAAATTGGAATATTGATTACCAGTAATTAAATCTCGATTGTAGAACGTAATTAATTTCTAAAGGTTTTCTTATACCGAAAAGTTTTTTTTTGCTCGGTAACAGAGGAATACGTAATTAGAATATTCATTATTTCTATATTAATTTATTAAGACAATATAGCAGGAAATTTAAACTGTAAAGTTGTCAACACTGTGAACTACGCTCCTCCGTAGAATGATGACACCAGACTAGAACGTGAAGGAGATTTTTATATATTTGTGTGAACCGTGAAAGAAGACAGTTAAAAACTCCGTTAGGAAAGATATTTGTGTGCTCTAGAGGAGTCAAGGCCAACCGACGGAGAAGAAGTCTGCTGCTCTGAGGAGAGCAGAAAGTTTTGAGTTCTTCCTATCAAAAAAAAGAAGTGAAGCCCAGGGACTCACGCTCACGGGCGTAGATTTTATTAATTTGTGTTACAAAACATTCGTATTTACTAATATCTAAATGACAAAAAGTTATAATGTGACTAATATTTGTTAATCGCTAAATAGACTAGGTCATCAAGCGTCAACCTTTTGGGGCGGAATTTTTTTCACTCCTGTGTATGTTCTTATGAAGAGAGTCGCATAGTTCTTAGTAGCCCACGGTCACCAAATATCTCAGGTTGGCCATGATTGTAGAATTCGCTCCTAAAGCATGACATACTATTTATTTTTGTTATTATATAAAAGCCTTTAAATATAGGTCGATAGTTTGTGGTTATATCATGAAATACAAAATTTAATACTTACTAATATGTAATGTAATCGTTGCAACATATAAAAGTAATTTATAGGTGACATTTGTTCTAATATTTTCTAATTAGCAACAAGTAAATCATTTCCACGATGCTGAGAAGAGAAGCACCAATGAAGAGTCCCGCTGTGCCGCCAATTGATACTAAAAAAATAAAGATGTTTTAATATTAGTAAGGAAATATTTAAGATTCTTGAGAATACATTGCCCATTCTAAAGCTTAACAAAAGTCTAAATTTTTTAAACTATAAGCAAAAGGAAGAATGTTATTCCTAGCAAAATGCATAAATATGTAAGCAATTTCCATTATCGATTTACTGCAACGTATTGAAAAATCGTATTTTTTTTTTAAATCCTGAAACTGTATAAATAATTTCACTTCTTTATTACAATATATAGTTTGAATATTTTTATTTTAACTACAAACAATATTTTAATGGAATTGGAACATGATGAATATATATATTATACAAAAAGGTGTTGTATGCGAAGAGCAAATTCTTGAAGCATGCAGAAAAAAGAAAAAGAAAATATGTAAGGAACGCGAGTAGCGTTGGTTGGAATTGCGACAGAAGGCTGAACCTGCGATTGCATAAATTCCGTAGACCTGCATCCCAGTTCAGAAAGCATTTTGCATTGACGCAATATGCAAAACCAAACAAAGCACTTTGTCGGTGCGCGGAGGTAGAGAAGGATGCGATGGAGTAAAGATGCAGGTTAGCAATTCGCGCTGCGCCAACTCACCTACCAAATCCATTGTGGTTCTCACCACGTTCCTCTTGAATCTGAACGTCGGCAGTGATTGCAGCCTGATTGATATCTCGCTCGCAGCACTTTTCAATCTAAGGGGCATTTATACTTAAGGCACAAACATATATGCATATTAAAATAAATAAAATAACAGAAGTAATAAAACAATAAGGATTTCTAGTTTTTGCTCTATCAATTCGCTTCAATTTTTTCAGTAATAATGCTCGAATGTATCAGATGATAAATCCTACAGATTTGAATTTAATTGAAATAGAATTATACGTTATAGCACGGATAATTTATGATCACGGTAAATACAAACATCGCTTTTAATTGCATTAAAAACTTAATATCTTTGTATTATTATATGCAAAAATATATATTTAATCATTTTAAAAGGTAATTTGTATTTTTTTTCTTTAATTAACGAAGATTTTTCTGCATTTCCAAATATGAACTACAAAAAAATCTATATAATAAAATTCGGAATAAATAAAACAACAGAATTTGTATTTTCGGTATGATTAAATCGTTTGTGGATTTATTCAGCAATAAAGCTGTATGGGATTCGGAATTGTAACGGAAATTGGCTGAAATGCATTATTTTTTACGTATTTGCTGATTGCAAAGTGGGCGTGCATTGATCTCGGATTCTATCTAAACAAAATGAAATAAAACCAAAAAAAAAAGACACGTCTATGCGGTAGAGTGAAACAAACAAACTGGGAAGAAAAAGAAAGGAGAGCTAGTTGGGAAGATGCAATCTGGTTGAATCCGAAGGAAAGTTTGCCCTAGCGCCGTGCCCTGTGTACATTGATAAGCAATAAAATAATTCCGGAGGCAAACAAACGGGAGAATCAGAAGCCTCTAATTTCGGGATCAATAAGCGTCGGGCGGTGAGTGAAAACGGGGATACGAACAAATAGATATATTTCGTTGCCCTATTCTCGAAAAATGAGGGTATAGTGGATGCGCCGGGACTCAAGAGTTGGGGGGTGTAAAAGTACGGAACGGGTGGAGGAAGGAGCTTACGGTTCGGCGATGTACAACTAAGAACTGCTGACACATCGAATAAATAAATTACCCTTTGCGCTCGGAGACGATTTTATATTCCGGTTCAACACAGGAGGGCACACATTCGCACACCAATCCGGGCTTATCGAATCCCTTGGCGTGCAGCCTGTTCACCGTCTCTGCATAACAAAATAACAGTTTTTTTTATTTTGTTCCAAAAAAAAAATTGTTTCGCTAAAACAACGTTTGTAATAATGGAACGATATTAAATTTGAGAAATGAGGCGGTTAGGTACCCGTGTAATACGTCAGGCATTTGCCGCACTACTTTCTTCATATTTGCTTATTGCCGTGTCTCTTCCTGCCTGCAAACAAAATTATATTGCCGCCTGCTTTGACTGACGGCGAATCTTTCCCCCGTTTATGTCCTCGAATTTTCCTGCTCGCATTAATTTGACTTTGTCCAATTTGCGAACTCTGTCTTTCAACTTTCCCGACATAATCTACTTACATATCTTCTGCATGGTTTAAAGTATATCATACCCCCCATTTTCTATTTTATAATATAAACTAATATTAAAAATAAATTGACGCAATTTTAGTGTATTTATCAATTTTATAGCAACGTATATATTTATAATAACATTATTATATTGTTATTATGCTAACGTACAATTATACACAAAAAAATATTTCTTGATTACTTCTTAAATCGTTAATTTTTATATCAAAGAATTATAATAAGAAATGAATAAAAAAATATGTTTAAATAAGATAAAACTATTAAATTAATACCAAAAGACTTTATTTCAGTAACTCCTATATCTTTAAATAAAACTATGAGGCATTCAAATTTCTCTAAAGCTTTGAAGAATTTTAAATTTTACCGATTATCAATATTCTATGTGTATTTGCAAACTTTAATGAAATAAGTTAAGAAATATTAACAAAAACAATAATATCATTGTTTAGATACAATATTTTTATATTGTGAATTTAAATCCAGCAGATTAACATTATTATATGAGTACTTGCAAAGAAAAGCAGCATTTAATATATATAAAATTGTTACCAAAATATTAGCAACAACAAACGCTGAATAAGTAAATTTTAATAAATTTGCGAAATACTTTTTTCTACATATAAAGGATGTGCAAAAAAAAACCATCATTATAAAATATGTGCCAATAAATAATTGATGATGATAAATATTGGTAAGGGAGTGTTATGTATAACCGTTATTGTTTATATTATGTTAGCCCTTATTATTTTATACATGTGTATGTAAATAAGTCATTATGACTTAGTACAATTACTACTTAGGAAGATCCCATAACTAATCATTGTGTAACGACTATTGTTAATCACCATGTTGTGCACAAATTCGAAAGGGCCAATCGATAATGACTACTAATATTTACATCTGTGATTAGGCACTTAATGATTAGGTACTATCTTCCCTTACCAAATATTGTACTCCCACTATGCTAATTCACTACTATATAACAGAAAAATTATGTAATACAAGGAGAGGTCTAAAGAGTCAGAGTTAAAGTCCTAGTCCAAGCTAGTCGCTAGTCCAAGTTAGTTTTAGTCTTAGAGGAGAGTCCTCCCTAGTCCTAGTTAGGCTCATAAAAACTAGTAACAAACCAAGGAACTTGAATCTAAACATAGAAGTTATTAATAATCGTATAGTAAATATTTATTATTATAAAAACTCCAACTTTAGCATTCCTTAAAAACTTCACTAGGACTCTACAACGATATAACTACGAGATATTCCACAGTGTCCAGAGATATTTGAATCCCGGGATACGACAGGAGTTAATTATTTAATATATTTTCAGTAACTCCAGTTATTTACCTTTACCTATTTAGAATTAGTATATAGAAATTTTGAAAGGAAACCAATATTTAGAATTTATTATTTTCTGTAGTTATTAGTTGATTTGTTTATATAAAAAGGTATGTTTTGTGGTAACAAAACTGCATGAAATAAACCAATTTAATTTATAAAAATGTATTGATTAAATGCACGATCGTCGGTTTTATGCTTTAGTTTTTTTTTTAAATATAAATCTATAACTTCTTTTCTGATGGAAGTTTCACAGGGCGCGAAAAGGAACATTTCTCATTAAACACGTACACAGAGTTTGTAATTGTGTAAAAAGTAGCTTACCGAAGTAATCCGTAAGACACTGTAGTCCTTTCATATCGCAAAAGGTGTCCTTTCCTTCGAAGAAGACGTCAATTACATTAATGAGACCAGTCAGAAGAGAAGTAGAGGGATATCTCATCCTTACCCAGCACCGGCATCAAATGGTGTGTGCAATTACAGAGCCTCGCGTGAGCGTCCGCATGGCATTGGACGATACAAGTTGAATAGGAATAGTAACTATGCACTTTAAGCTCTGCGGACTTCTCTCCAGGGAAGAGACATTGTCGCTTCTCCACTGGGACATTCTTAACGTTCTCGTCGTTCGCAATCTCAATTATCTACATTCAATAAGTCAACAATACATAAAGAAATTGCAGCAATTTCAACAATCTTTAAGAATTTTCATTGATAATTACATCTCTCGTCGAGGAAATGTTCGACTTACGTTTATGATGATGGAGTGGCTCTCTCCTAGCATAACATCCTTCCTTTGATCGGGATCGGAATTGATGAACGGAACGTCCTCGGGCGCGTGTATATACAGCTGTTCCAGAAAACGAAAAGCATTTGATGAAAAAAATCCATTGGGATAACACGGAAACGTCCCGATAGCCGATCACAATTAAATATTATTATTAGTCCGGATTGTTTGCTTTCGCAGCGACTGGCTTTACCTTGCTGACCGCAATTCCGTTTGTTGGCCCCTATTAGCTGTTCAAATATGTTTGCCAGTTCGACTGTTTCATTTATCCTACATGAATTTACGTTAGGCCAAAGTGCATAGAAATTCAATCAGTTAATGTATATTATTTAATTAAATTGGATAATTTCTCCACAAAAGAATATAATTAACGATTTGAGTTCTAAGTATTTATAAAATATTGTATTTCTTCAGTGCAATAGATATTTGCCTAGTTCTTTGTTGATTAATTTATTCTATTCATTTTTACACAATTTACTGCCATTTAATTAATGCAATTGAATTAGATTAATTACATTAATTATTAAATATTTATATAAATTACAATGTTTATAGGAATCACTGAATATACCCGAATATCGTCAGATGTTTCTATATATAATTCGCCTGGGCCAGTCTTCCTATTGGATATCAACTCCACATTAGATCCTTCGATGGAGCTGGAAGCGTTCCAATAATAGAAAATCAAGGTACAAAATGCAAGGTACTGGACGATAATCTTAATGACCCACCTGGTATGCAGCGAGTTTATGGAGAAGCAACGACCGTATTCCGTCTCCAGAGGCAGGAATTTATCGCAACAATTAAAACTTATATCGTTCCATCTACAGTGCTTCATAAGTTGGGAACACTTCTTTCGAAACTAGATGGAAAGAGGCGGAAAGAAAGAAAGAAACAAAATTACACACGGGCGTCGAAATGGGATCCGCGACGCCTTTTGTAATGATAATCCTTTCCGTCTACGGCTACAGAAAGAGAATTATATATCTATATATATATATAGAGAGAAAGAGAGAGAGAAGGCAAGTGTTCAAAAGGGAGAATAGGAAGAAAGATAGAGACAGCTTTAATTCAGCTAGCGTATAAATCGTTTTTTAATTAACCCGGCCGGAGAATTCCCGGAGTCCCTAAGCTACATCCCAGGGATCCGAGGAAAAGAATAGTTTTACCCGATTAACCATTTCGCGATAATTGAGCTTCTCGCATTCGGAGCAGGGAGTGCTGCAGGAGTAGCAGCTACCGGTGAAGAAGATTATGTCGGAGAGAAACTGCTGCACCGGAGAATACGACTCGTTTGGTTCCCTATTCAAAACAGAGAATTATGCCGATTAGCCTTTTACTCGAAAATTTGGGTACGACCTTACGCCGTCCAGAAGGTCTCCGAACTCGTGATTTCACAGACCGAAATCGCCGGGAACGTCGTATTCCAATCCAGGTAGGTTGTCTCCGTCACGAAGCTTATCGCGTTGTGCTGAAACGATTCGTAGGAACCTCGAAAAATCCTCAGCATCGCCATTCCAAACATTATAAAAATCGCCAACCAAAACATTCTGTAAAATGTATTATATGCACATGTTACTATTATCTGTTATATAAACATAATTCGTTGAATCAAAATACATCTACTACAACATTTTATTAGTAAACATTTTTTAATACAGTCGAATCCGCTTAATCGGGACACATAGGGACGTCTCTATTAAATAATTGATTATCCAAAGTTAAATTTCCATTTGTTATTTGCTCGGTTTTGTTTCCGTTCCTTACGATTTATCCCTAATAATCGGTTGTCCCATTTACCGATGTCCCAATTAAGCGGAATGTATAGTAGTTCCTTGAATTCATAAACAGGTATTCAGTTAAAAGAAATTCTCAAATTGACATCTAAAACATTTTTGCGACTCATGTTGCAATTATCTTTTTCACAAAACACAAATCTGTATAGTTTGTAACACAATTCGTATTAAAATGTTCAATATATGCTCATTATGGTATGACAATTGTACAACCTTCCTTCATTAATTAAGCAATTATTCAATTAAAAAATCATTTACGTTACAGACTATAAAAATTACTTTTGAAGATAAACCTTATAAAAATCAAACGAATTGTGTAATTATTTTTATTTCTAAATATTATTTAACATATCAATAATAAATAATTATTTAAGTCGATTCTAAATAAGTAAATTTGATCCTATTTGTGTACATCCGAATAGCAGGAAAAGGTGTATTGGAGTTTTATTTTTATGGAGCTCGATAAGATCTTAATTTTATTGGGATAAAAAAAAAGTTTGCGCTTTGCGTGAAAGCTCGACTGAAAGCCCAGCACATTAGGCCCTTTTGTGACCCTCCGTTGAATATTTCACTGGCTATATCGACTATATTAGTATCGATTGTTAGTATGCAGAACTTTATTCGACGCACAAATTAGCTACGAGTGAAAATTTATAGTTTTTTTTTGTGCTTTTCATTTTATCATTTATAAAATTTCTATTTATGAGTTAATAATTCACTAAAAATCTATTTCTATTCTAATTTAACAGAAACTTTTGGTTAAAGTGAAACGCGGAACTTCTTACATCTACGTATATATATTTACAATAATTATTTTGTTCAGAATAAGAATAATTTGCGTTTATGGATAGAATTTATTTTATAAAAACGTTAATACAAATTATGTATACAATATAAAATCTAAATGTAAATTCTACGATAAGTTTTGTGTAATTTTAAAGTAAAATGTTGCTAAAAGTTGCGAAAAGCACAATGTACTTTCCCCCCCACTGCAGGCTGTAACCGAGCCGGAGACATTTTCAAGTTTCGATAAACTTCGTGCTTTAAGCGAGATAAGCATTATCTTGTTACCACCCCCTCAAATTACAAAGTTTCAACGTCGGGAAAGTACCACTAGCTTTTCCCAAATTCTAAAATTAGAACCTACCTAAATAGCGGATGCTTGCTCTCATCGGCAACATATTTGAGACCATGTAAATTGGTGTTCTTCAAATAGAACCGAAGATTACGGCACACCGACGACATCCCGAAGGAAACTGATCACAAATGGACGATCCTGTAAATCGATCAGGTATCAAATCCAAAGATCCATTAAGATAGCAGTCCTAATGGATCCGACGATGCGAGTGAAATAATGAGACAAGTTAATAATAAAACTTTATTGAAAAAGCGTCAATTTGGACAAAAAAAAAAGAATATATATAATATATAAATGCGGGGATCAGAGAGATAGAGAGAAATAAAACATAAGAATCATCATAATTGGAGAAGAAAACGAAATAAAAACAGAAACAACACTAAATGACAACATATACATATAATACACCTACATGGCTAAATTCCTTCACTAAATAAAATCGAAATATTCATTGTATATATATATATTTATAATTTGATATCATTTTCTCGTCATACCTTCATTTTATTTTAATTTAATTTGCAGATACAATAAAACCGCAAAACTCTTTATTCTCTCTTTAATAGTAAAAAAAAAAACAAATATAAACAAACAAAATAAAAATGTCATTAAAACGCAGTCTTGAATAGTGTGTATATAATAAATGCATTTCCTTTTTTTTTAATAATTTTCTTGTAAACACGATACTCAGCAATAAATACTTTAAAGCAATAAATAAAGATTATAAAAAAAGGGGAGCTGCTGATGTGGTTTTACTTACAGAAAAATAATAGAAAAGAAAAGAAAGTAGCACACAGACACTCTTTTAAAAGAAACAAAAAAAAAACTCGTCCTTTTTCATCGTCATCCCCATCGTCTAAATGTATCACTCGCCTCCCTTCGCGATTCCTCTTCATTTTGGTTGCTTGCTTGCTCGTAAACGAAACAAAATGATATGATAATAATAAAACAAATTATTTAAACTAACTATCGACAATTTGACTTGAACTAATATTCGAGGAGCCCGGCGTCGCCGTACTGGATGAGACGTTCTGGGAATAAACGGGAAATTGGACGAACGTGCAGGAGACGGGATCGGGCAGTTGCTGGGCGATGTCCGGGTCCAACAGCTGCTGCTGCGGTGGAGGAGGTCCCATTTCCTGTATCTCTTGCAGCATCTGCTGCGGCTCCGGATTCTGGAATAGGTAGGGGCTAACGTGCGGATGTCTGATTCGAATGGCGTCCACCACATCCAAGAGATTTTTAGAGTCCATGGCGAGAACATGCGCAGCACCCAACATTCCCCTACAAACATAATACAATTATCAAACTAAGGATAGTTGCTAAGCTACGCAAAACTTTACTTTCTGTACTCTGCATCCAAAGTGGTAGTGCTGTATTGCTGAGCAAGTTTCATGGTGTTCACCAACTCGCTCATGTCTTTCGAGAGGACTTTGTGTGCCATCTCGACTTCCTTGTGCACGGAAGCGGGAAACAGAGTGACTATTTCATCGACGCTCGCCAGAAGGGCCCTCAGATCCAGTCCAACTTTCCTAACAAGATCCAAATACTTCTCGGCCCTGGCTTGCTGAACCCCTTGCGACAATGCCATCACAGCCTTTACGACCAGCGTAGTGGAATCGTATACTTTATCGTTAGATCTATCCAAGTCCGCAGTTCTGTTCGGTTCGGGTTTCTGAAAGATTACAATAAACGTTAATTTATAAATATCAATGAAATAGTTTATATTTATATTTACTTTGGATTTTTCAGATTCGCTGTCTCCGCTATCAGATCCATGACCAGAGGGACACCAGTCGTTCCTTGCCGTTAAGGTCATGGTGCTGGTAATACTATTTGCTGGAGAATGGCTTTTGCTGCTGCACTGGGACTCAGCGCTGCTTTGCATCCCGTTTCCGCTCAATGACATACTAGCCATGCTTCCTGACAGATACGATGTGGAATTCGAATAGGTGGTCGACAAAGGACTAGTCGGCACGGAAACCTCGTTACTCATGACTTCTGTCGATTCGGGAGGTATCACACTGAGACGCTTCTTCTAAGGATAACAGCCTTGGTCAACGCAAATTAATTTATATTATATGTACAAATTTTCCTCACCAAATTGATCTCGGATTCAGCCAACCATCTAGAATCCTCTTCAGACTCCTTCTGCTGCTGCTTGAGACGCTCCAACAGTTGATAATTGAAGTCCGGTTTCTTCTCTAGCAACTGATCACCGTAGATTGAATGCTGAGACGATGTGGGCTATAAAGAATTATCGTATTGTAGTAAAGTCGGTTGATTTCGGTTGTTACCAAACCAATGTTAATTTTACAAGATAAATTAAGAGTTGAGAAGAAAAAGAAAACCGAATGCGGTCTATTTTTTCTTCTAGTCTCTTCAAATACGAACAAATTAAAATCACAAATTGATTAGAACAGATATTTTTAAATACAAAAATAAAAGTTAAAACTCAAATGAAATTGAAAAATAATATAAAGGTTGCGACTCGTGGTGAGGGCTGGTATTGTTGGAAGAACAACATGCGGCATGCCAAATTGTAACAAAGTAAAAATAATTATAAAGATTTTGTGCAGAAATTGGTTAAATAACGAAAATAACGAAAAATAATAAATTAAATAGACACACATAAATCACAAGCAATTTGTTTTGTATAAAATTTCGATTGCATGCTGCCAACCTGTATCGCGCCCTCAGTAAATTTGCTAAAATCAGCCTTCTGCTGATAGTAGGGCTGCTTATGAGCACAGCTCTTGACATCGGCGCCGCCGAAATCGTAAATGCTTTCCTCCACCTGCTTGTTATCGGTGAAAGTATAAACGGTGGGCTCAGGATGGTAGTTTGAAATCAGCTCTGGTCCGAGAGGACTGTAAGTCTTCCTCTCCAGAGACCCGATACTCATGTTCCTCTCCAAGGAGCCCACCTTCATGCCACCAGCACCGCAGCCGCTGCCACCGCGCTCCAGGGATCCCAGTTTCGGACTGAACATCCCCTTATCTAAGCTGTTACTGTTTATTAGGTGCGCATTTCGTTCGAGCGAGTTCATTTTCGGCGACTGGGACTTCTCTTTCGGCTTCCGTTCCAGAGAGCCCATTTGGGGCGTCGCGGCGCCGCCGGTGGTGCTGCTGGTGCGGGACGGTGTCCGCTCCAACGTACCGATTTTCTGTTTCATTTGAGTTTCGGGTATTTCTGGGGAATAGTGGTGCGGTACTTCGGGATCGAGACGGTGGAGTTTTTCCACAGGAATGGGAATAGTCTTGAGGGTCGGTTGTTCGGGTACGGAATCTTTAGGATCGAAATCAACGGCTACCGTGTTAAATACCGATGCGGGTGTCGTGTACGCAGCCGGAGACAGACCTCGCGTCTCATTTTCCTTCATCAGGTGAGCTAAGACCTCCGGATTCTGGGCCACTATATACGTCTGCGGACCTGTGCTAGCATTCAACGACGCCAATGATGAAGAGTCGACACCTAAGAATAAACAGCATATAACACCCTTCTTCAAGTCCAAATCCAAGAAATTCAGCTTACCTTGCATTGGATATCTAGACGGCTTCGGTGGTGCATCATCTACGTAATTCCACGATAAACCTGCGGTCCTCCTCTTATCACGATTCAATGTTTGTTGTGCTGCTGTCTTCTCCTCATACATAATTTCCCTAAAACAATTATAATGTTACAAAAACATTCTATTCAAATTTAAGTGAATGCATTAATTATGACTATTAATGAATTGAAGGACTTACTGCAAAAGTTCCTTGATTTCCTTAAACATTGGCCTTTTACTGGGTTCATAGCTCCAGCAAAGCGACATCAAAGAGTAAAGTCTTGGTGGACAGTTCGGTGGCAAGGCAAGTCGCTCGCCGTTTTCAATCTTATTGATAACATCGTTGTTTTTCACGCCTTGGAATGGTTTCACTCCCAGCATCAGAACCTCCCACATGCACACGCCTGTAATCAGATAAACATTAGTAAACTTGCGTTGTTAGTATTGATTCGTTGGTCATAATTACCGAACATCCAAACATCACTGGCCGTTGTAAACCGCCTAAAATTAATACTTTCGGGGCTCATCCACTTGATGGGAAGCTTGCCCTTAGATGCCTTGTAATAGCTCTGGTCGTCGCCCATTGATCTGGACAAACCAAAGTCCGCCAGTTTTACGCAACTCGGCGAACTAACCAGAACATTTCTAGCCGCTATATCTCTATGTACATATTTCTTAGATTCTAAATAACTTAAAGCTGTAGATAACTGGAATGTGTATAGTAACAATGTGTCTAACTCTAAACGGGATTTGTTGTTTTGCAGATAAGCGCGCAGTTCGCCAAGCTTGGCCAATTCCATTACAATCCAAACCGGAGATTCGGAACAGACGCCTATGAGCTTGATAATGTGCGGATGGTCGAACTTTTGCATTATATCTGAAAGCAGTTTTCATTAAACTTTGAAACATATGTCTAGATATGTTATAACATACAGGCCTCCTCGAGGAACTTTTCCGTTGTGGCAAGATCCGCATCACCCTTGCAGGTTTTCACGGCTACAGGAATCGGCGTTCCTTCCTTGCATTCGTAATGGCCTTTGTGGACGTCTCCAAATTGACCCTCGCCCAAAACGGAAACCAATTTAATGTGGCTACGAACCAACTCATAATTCCTTGCTACAATATAGAAACAACAAAATATTTACAAGACGATCATGAAAATTGCTCATAAAGATCATACTTGCTGGAGTTGAATAATCCCCCTCTTCATCCACTATCTCAGCGTAGTCCTCTGAAAGCATGGTACCGTGCAAATTATCTATCTGATTTTTGGATACCTTATGCTTTGAAGCATGCGAATCTAATAATAAAAAGAAACAATAAGATAATATAATAAAAGTATTGAAAACACAGGAAAATAAATTTATAGTAATTTTAGACGTTGACTAACCTTTACAAGGGCATGGAAATTGTTTCCAAATAGTAGCTTGTAATTAAGAAAACAAAAGAAAAGAAACGCACTTAGATGGTATTTTTTTTAAATATATAATTTAAATGTTGAATTATCTCAGCTTACCTTTTCTGGTCCAAATGGATGTTTGCGATCCGGAATGTAATCGGCAGTAACCATCGATCAAATCTGCGATACTCTCGGCGATTTCGATACTGGGGCAAGTGATGAAGAAGATTTCGTGGGTGCCGGCGACACGAAGCTGCAGCGTCGCCTTGCTGTGTTTATCACAGTCGCTGACTAGGGTTTGGATGGCTTGGATGTTGCTGAAGGCTGCCACGTTCGTGGTCGTGGAGTTCAGTGCTTGAACGGTCGTGTAAGAGATGCCGATGCCCGGTCCGATCACCAGCTCGACGGGCACATGCCAACTGTTTCCGAGTTCAACTTTGAAGCGCTCCTGATCGAAGTTGAAATACATGCGGAGGATGTCGAAGAACTTGAACATGCAGTCAACCTCTGACAGCTGGCTGAACTTTTTGAAATGCGTCTGGATGCTCTTACGAAGAGACTTCGGCTTCATGCCCTCAAGTATATGACGAGGAATAAACTTGTTCATACCCTCTTCGCGCTCCAGGTACTCCAGATTCGATTTCTTGTCGAGGGCGTGCTGCGGCATGTCCTTGAAGAAGTTGCGAATTTCCAAGCAGCAAAGCTGTACGGCAACATCGGAATCGATGTTCAGGTGGCTTGCATTCAAATAATCGCTTCGCACCTAAAACAAATACGTGTATTTGACAAGAATAAATGTTTGCTGCATTCATTTACCTGATCGAAGTAAAAAGAGAATGTTATGCGGTCTTTCTCGTATAGGGTGTGGAGATTTGTAGGAAGATATCGTAGACGCAACTCGAAACGCCACTCGTTCATTGGATGCTTCTTGAGAAATCTGTCCTGCACTTGGTACATGGTGGTGTCCTGGTGCAACCAGAACATCTCACCAGTCGAAGTGTGGAGAAGTCTCATTGCGTACAGCCCTTTGTAATATCTATCTCCCGTTGAGAGACGATCTGTGACTAGTGATATTATGCCTTTAATGTCGATAGCATCTCCATACTTGACGATGTTAAAGCCACCGTTAGGCAAATGAACCTGCAAGTAAAATGTATTAGCTTATAAAACTTTTGTAAGCAACAATATCGAAGATTCACCTTCAGCGTGGCTTTATCCGCTTGCGCAGGACTATGCTGAGGAGACTTCTTCGGACTGTCCATGTTGGACCTGAACGGCACGCACCGCACAGGAGAGCTACTGCTCACGGGGGCCGAAGGAGGAACATCACTGCAAATGAATTACACACATTTTAATTTGAATATTCCGTACAGGTGAAACGGTTGTAAAACGTTGCAAGAATTTGTCCTTGCGCGATTCGTTTCCTTACTACAATAAATTCTGATCAATCTATCCTATAATAACCTTCCACTTTACTACTATACATACACCTATCATATACTTTCTATTCGTTCTCTCATATTCACAAACAATACGATCAATTCCCACCAATCTATACTAGACGCGGCGTCTACACCCAAAAAGATGCACTACTATTTTTGGAAACTGGTCTTTTATTTTTAGATACATTACGTAGCCATAAATTAACCACGAAGCCGATTCCACCAGAAATATATCTACATATATTTTGTTTTTAAATACGTACTTAATACAGTTATTTTGCTGAACTATTAAACCTAATTGATTTACGACAGGACCAGAGGGAAGACAGTTACTTTCAGCAATTACGTAAATCAATTTCATAATATACTGGAAGGTCGCGCATTGCATTTGCAGACCTGTTTCCCACATCACAGCAAAATAAACAATTACTTCCATAGTTGCATCATCAAAATCGACGAGGTTCTAATTTACGATTATTGTAAAATCAAAAACATCACTCAAACATTTTTCTAAAAATCAAAACTTTGTTGAACATAAACTTTAATAAAAAAAAAACATAAAGTTTATAATAATTTTATTGCGATGAATTGCGCATTAATTATTTAAAACTAAAATGATTAAATATAGATATGATAACATTATTGTAAGTAATTATTAATCATAAGTAGAATAACTTCAAGTTAAAGATATAAATATTTCTTATTTTATATGAATCATTGTTTATAAATAAATTCTCATTAAAATTACATATTTTAACTAAAGCAAACATTGAATATGCTGCTAACCGCGTGTAGTGTAGTAGATTTGTCCAAGTGAACGTTCTGCATTCATGATTGGCCATATCGCATGTTGATTGCCTTGTAGATGTGGATGAGGAAACCGACATAACTGTATCCTCTTTGTTCCCCGCAAAGATTCGCGTATATTTCCGTGTATTTTTTTTTTGTAATGCATTTAGCCGCGGCACAAATTCATTTTGGATGTATTTTTAAACGCATCCAAGGTGCACGAACTCGCCGCTTCCGATGCCCCAAGAGACGTTCAAAAGTATAAATAAAAAGTGTAATATTGTCCTAAACTCTTCAAGTATAAGAATGAATGTATCCTGATTTGTCAATCATCGTGGTAATATATTTAATATTTATTCGTGTTTAAATATATGTAAATTTGTTAATTAATTCACGAGTAAAAGAAACAAGTTGTAATTAGTTTCTTCACTGAATTTGCGAGTTGCTAGAGATGCATTTGCATAATACCCGAAAGTATAATTTCTGCTCCAGTGGGAAATACCAATAGAACACAAAAATAAACCAGTTTCCTCGTTCGCTCCCATTCACTGGTTTCGCGCTGTAATTAATTAATTAACGCAGCAATCCCGAACTCTCTCATAACCATAACTATCACCATCCTCGATTGAAGAACAATAAGACTGCCCGTTTTCCATTAATTTACATTTTTTTTTACAAAAGGCGAATGCAAAGACAACAACTGCTGACGTTGCTCACGATATATACACTTTTTTCAATAGCCCATTGTTTGTTAATTCCTTCTTTCTGGACCCATCACAATTGTTTCACCATCCATCGAACAACCTAAATATCTGATCACAGTCGCCTGCAGATAGCTTCAATTATATAAGACAAATAATGCCGACACTTCGATTTTACACCCCGCCGCGCTATTTCAATAATAATAATAATTCCGACTTTTAAATAGAATTCTCCATTAAGCGTTTCCCATCGGCCTCTTTCTTCTAAATGCGCTGGCCCCGCGCCAACTCTTCTACACCAAAACGCATTTGCATCCAGAATCCAAGAATAATTTCCTCAACGTTGCTCTAAAATATACACGGATTCAAAAGTCACAACTTATTGTTTGTAATCCATACTTATTCACGACACATAATCATATACTATGTAAACTTACACACTTGATATATGGAAGCTATGTGAAGAAAGTAGTTGAAACTAAAAAGTACTAGACATCAATAATACTAAATATTTCAAACCATTCTTGTTCATTCAAATTTCAGTTTCCAGAATAAAATAATGTTATATAAATAGAAACACTTATTAATACACTACCATGTTTATGGTTGATAACGGATAACTGAACTTCAAAGATAAGTGTTTATTTAATAAATACTTATCGTTCATAGTTGCATTGTTATAGATTAATACAATAATAATAAAATTTGTTCAAATCAAAGTCAAAGGTGGGAATGTTCTCTTGATTTATTCAATTCACCAAAGATATTAAATTATAACACTGAATTATACGTTTAATTCATTCCATGTGTTACTCGATTATTTCTTAACTGTACAAAATTTTGCGAGAAGTAGTGTTATTAAAAACTGTGAAAAAGTATAATTTCAAAAATAAAACATGCAACTTCGTGTCTTATTATTTTAGGAGTAAACGTGGCTTACATGAAGATAATGCAAATTTATAACAAAATATTGTTAATAATTAGTGTCACATTTTAATAAAATTGAAACATAAATTAAATATATTTGTTAGAAGTTTGATTTTATTAAATTTGAAACTCGTCAAACAACGTACTTCAATATTGAATGCAAATGACATGGTGAAAATGAAAAAAAAGATGTAGGCTTGAATGTGAGTGATGTCACTCTGTTGTGTTTCTAACGAACATCGTCGCTCACACCAGCACTATTTAATTACAACTGGTTAAGTGTGTGCTTGCAGTTTTCACATTCTCCATTTCTCCTGTTCCAATAGGAAAATTCCGAGAAGAACCATAATTAAAGTAAAGAATCAAGTCGTAAGCTCACAGGCTAATTTTCTTTTTGATGAGATAGAAGGCACGATTTGAAATGCTCTAATTTTAATGATCATAGCAAACTCTATGTATATGTGAAGTACATCAATACTTTTACTGAAACCGGACTAATCGAGAACTTTAATAAATAGCATTAAAATTGCTATATACCTAAAATTAATTAAAATCAGAAGTTTATTTTCAATAACATATCTGATTTATAATGAAATTCATTAAATGTATGCATGTCATCAAGTATATATTAAAATGATTAAGATGTGTTAGATTTTGAGATTATCGCTTGAAATATCTTTAAAAAAAATGAACACATAATATTAATATAATTTATTAAATTGAGTTTGACCTTTCCGAGTCGAACGTAATTAAATTTAATATTTCATTTCTTCAGATTTATCTTTCGTCTGGTAGTCGATAATTGCCGCAATCATAAGAAACTTGTTATCGAATCAAGCAAATTTACAATATTCATCGTTTAATTAATACCGAACGGCGTGCAATTGATTTTCATTGTCTAATAATAAAGTGTTTAAAGAGTCATTTGGACGTTCAGTCACGTTCCTTCATTTGTTTATTTAGTTGTGTCTGGATTGCGAAAATTGGCAATTGGAAAGTACGAAAACCTTTTGTTGGAAATAGGGAGTGGCGGTATAATAAAGAGATTCCGCGATCCGAGGAAACATTAATTGAAGAGCGTTTGGGTGCTATGTTTTTGTGTGAATATGTCGGTGGATGTATGGAGATAATCGAATGCGAGATTGGATGGAATATGACCGTTAAACGGGAGTTGAAAGAGAGACGGAGAAGAGACTCTGCATGTTTGCAGTGTGTGTGTGAGTGTGGCGTGTGGGCATGACAGACGGCCTTTAGTGAATCGTGAGATTCCCAACCTTCAGAAAACTCAATCTCACTCGGATCGCCATTACACATATATTTATATACGAGTGGATGTGTTTTAATAGGTAATAGGTTACCACCGTATCCACCTTTCCACGGAACGCTGCACATTTCCAACCAGTTTTATTGATTAAGTAAAAAATAAAAACAATATATAAAAACAAGCATATACACAAGGATGACACTGGTAGTGTTCAATAAGTGGACAAAGGAAATAGCTAATAGAATTCCCTATTACCATGCATTATTCATAAATATGTAGATGCGATGGGAGAGAAATATGGGAGTTCACGAACAACACTCGAAAACCACGACGGGCGGAAATTCTTGATGAGAAAATTAATTTTTAATACATGATTCATTACCTGAACGCTTTCAAAGACAATAGCCTGCTTCCTACTCTCAGCACAATTATATTAATTAATTTATCTTAATTAAGAGTAAATAAAGTAAATGTTTTTTTTTTGGCATTGTAATCAATTCATTATTAAACGAGAAACCTGAATGGCGCCAACCTAATCATTATATTTTGAGATAAGAAAACAAATCGGTCGTAAAGATAACCAGATTAAATATTAAATAAATTTGTGTATTTTCATCCTCAGATAAACTTTTAATGTTAAAGTTATGTTCAAACATAAACGTATTGGTGATCCGTCAACCTTAAGCTTCTAATTCTGAGACTCAAAATAAATCATAAAAAAAAAGTTGTATTAGGATGCGTTAATAATAAAATGCTTTTTATGTTCCCAGTAGACCTCGTTATATCGAATTAAAAAAGCGTTAAACGAGGTCTTACTGTATATTATCAATTTATTAATTATGTTAGCTAATATAGAATAGTTGATAAATATTGGTTAGTACGATTTTAAGAAGATAAACTAAACTAAAAAATAATTTGTTGTATTATAATTATAATAATTATTTTATCAAATATATAATAAATGGATTATTAGGAATTACATTTTTTTTTTGAGAAAAAAGTGATCATCATAATTTGCACGAAAAAAATAAATACTGAAAATTCACAATATGATAAAGAAAGAAAATGAAATTACCACAATAAGCCTCAAAAATGATTAATAGTTCTCTTTTTGTGGTATAAACATGTTTATCCAATGTATTGTCTGTCATACATATTGTTTAATTTTTGTTAATTATTACCTCAAATTAGTAGACATAAGTAAATATTATCTGAAAATATATACTTTTTTTTTTAAGAAAAATATGTTTTCTTTATATACTTACATCAAGCACAAATTTTTCAATATTCTAGATTTCAATAAAAATCTACAAAATGTTTCTTTTTTATATCATTTCCATTTAATTATACGAATAATTAAAATACATTAATTAAAATAGAATCAAACGTAAAACAATGTTTCACAAATAAATAGATATGATGCAAAACATTTATTGTATTGTAATTAATTTGAAAGATAAATATTCTATTTCACTAATTTACTATTATTATTTTAATTTCACGCTAAACGCGAATTCCCATTAATCGCGTCCAATTCCCAAAAAGCATTGTTTAACGTGAATCACGTCGTATCAATTCAGTTGAGCAACTTTCGATAATAATATGAAAATTTTCAATTTGTGATTCACTTAGCAAAATTAATTCCGAATAAACTCTTCGGATGATTCAAATTTGCAATGTTTGTAAATGAATTCCTCATCTTTGTTTGTGGAAAGTCCAGAATCAAATCAGGACAACTTTGATGTTTATATCAATAATGTGAATGCAAACATATAATTATTTAGCTTTTATCGATAATATTTGTATAACTTACTCATTAAATCTGGTAATTGATTGCCGCCGGTTTCTAAACCGAGCGCGCTCTTGTTTCTGGTAAATTAAGATATGGAATCTGATTGGGACTAATTCGGTTTTGGAATTAGTGGACCGTTTTACGACGGATATAAAAGTTCTACTAGCAGAGTAGTAAAGAGATCAAACAGGATGGAGAGTGGTCGTAAAAACCAATCTTTTTTCTTTGAAGAAAGTTACCTGTAGGACTTGGGCCGCGGTTTGTGGAACTTCCAAGTGTTGCTCGGCACTTGGCTGCTTCGTACGTAGGTTTGCTGCTCCTGTCCTAGAGCGCACAGGAGACTCCTGGGTCTCAAATTTATCTGCACGGGGTTGGTTTTGTTCGGGGGTAGCGGCGGCAGCGGTGCCGATTTCCTCGCACAATTCGTCGACCCGCCGACCGCCAAACTCGCCCTCTTTATCAACTCCAACATGTCACAACATAACACGGTGCATCACCAGAATCACCATCATCACTTCAAAACAAAGCTCTGCAAATTCCGCAGCGATTAATAAACGTTTATTATTATTGTCGTGACTAAATCGTTTTCCGATTGCATAAGATTCTGACGGCCCACGCCGTTTCCATTTGAATATTCAAATCCTGTTCGATAATAATTTTCTCTCCGAGATCACCGTTCATCTGGGTCAACGCCGAAATGGACGTCGAATAATTAAAATTCTTATGAGAAAAAAAAAATATGAGATAAATTATATATATACAAATTTCGCGCGTTTCTCTCTGATAAACCCAAATCCAATTATCACTCACTTATCAGAGCTCACTTTCGTACATCTCTCTACAATTTTTCAATTTCGATTTGAGGCACCAATTAATACGTATCCTAATTAGACAAAATCTCCGATGTAAACAGTTTCAGCGCTAATTGCCGCCTTTCGCAAACCCATCAAACTCCAATCGCGCTAATTGCTTTGAATCAAAAGTAAAAACTCTTTCACATCAAGAACGAACGATCCTGTTTCTTGCCTCAACATTCCTATTTACAGTTATTCCGCTCTAATTTGCATCTCTTAAGAACAATGATTCTCACGTCATAATTAAAACTGAGGATGGCTCTAATTGAACCATCGCATCCAGCGATACGGCAAGTCGTAAATCTTATGCAATCACACGGAAACAACAAACCTATTAGGATGAATGCACACTGTTTGTTTTTGAAATTCCCCGCTGCTCGTGTAAACTGTACGATGATTGTCTGTATCGAGTTAGACAAAACGCGTGGTGCTCGAGGCCGCGGACAGTCAACAACTGAATAAAAGTGAAATTTTCACGTGGTATTCGTGCCCACAGCTCTTCCACTCTCAACGGCAAGCTAATAATCTCTTGTGGTTTTTCGGTGAGAAGCACATGCACCTCCGGTACGAAGACAATCCAATGGACAACTACAATCCCAATCCAACGACTATGCCTGCCTGCTGCATCCTATCTCTCGCAATCTTATCGCCCATTCCCAGAATCACCATTGTCCTTTATTATCGGGTTTTGCTAATATGCAATTTCTTGATTATCAAACGACAATTATTAGAATACAATTCAGTTAAATTTTACTTTGCGCTTCCAAAGATTTTCTAAATGACTCGCGACTAATGAAGTAATTACGATTTTTTTTTAATTAGATTTTCGGCGCTTTCCGTATGTCGTTTCTTCAGGCTATATTCGAGATGACACATGGGCCTTAACCTAGGAAAACGACGGACATTTCACATACTTTACAGCTAATCGAATTGGTCGCCGTTATGAAAATCGCCTCTCGAGATTCGTATCTTCGATAATTAATCATCTACTGTTATGAGGTATGCGCTTGGCGATAGAGGTGACTCCAAGTGGAATTAGGTTGAGGGCTCGGTTATATCATTAATAATCAATACAAGAACGATTTTCATCGATTAATTAAGACGGTTTTATTTATGGAAATCAGTCTTGAACGAAAATCGGTCAATCCTTTCATCTACAATAAACGATTTCAAAGTAAATAAAAAATCTTATATTCATACATAACTTAACATTGATTCTATTTTATATTTTTGTTTTTTAACTACTAAATGGACATTTTCATAATTACTTATGTAATGTTGCGGTTGTTGCAATAAATATCTTTTATTATTATTATTATTATTATTAATATAAGGCAGAAAGACCTATAGCCCTTTGTATACAATAAATTTTGTACAGTTTAAAAGTAAAGATTTTAATGTTGCAAGAATATCTTTACCTTGTGCCGTTTGAACTTATTTTCAACTTGATGCCATGAGAGATTGCTTAGACGTTGATCTTTTGAGTTAATAGTGCCATTTAAGTTCTACGATAATTGGTCCAAGTTTGATGTGGAAATTCCGCGAGAAATATGATTATGCGGCAATAAGTCGCAGTCCGATGACCAGGATCAGATAAAATGTAGATCCGATAACGCAAAATCTCAGTAAGAACATAATGGACCAATAATGTAAGATTGCTCTTAATAATAAACCGATCTCAGCTCGTTTCCTTTTACTTAACATTTAATGTTACACATAAATTAAAAGCACGTAGCGTAATAATAAACACAGTCATTACTCATTTGATCAGACCTTGATTGTTTTCTATTATTATTATTATTGTTTTCTTTTATTCGATCTAATCTGAAATCATTCCAGTTTGTTGATTTTAATTGTTTCATATTTATGATATTCTGTTAACACGTTTGAAACGCAAATTAAAATTGTTTACAAATAAGTGAAGATACCTGGATTTGAATATAAAATAAAAATAAATTAGTTTATTTATTTATATATTTTTTTTAATCTAGACGCATGTTGCTTATCATGAATTTGATTTATCGTTTGCAAACAAATCCTTGAAATGAAAACCTTCATAATGAATCATATTGAAAAGTGTTGCGGAAATCCATGAATTTAATATATAGACTGACTACATCAATGTTTGTTGTTAATCGTTGTAAAACGTAATCTAATTACGCTTAAAGATAAACTAGTTGATTGCTTAATTGCAGAGCGATGGTCGAGAGAAGGCCGATTTCGCAACCGAAGGGCGGCAAATTTTAAATGTCTTAAAAAAAGGGCACGCCTTCGCGGATTGCGAGTGGTTTTGGCTTAATATGGCCAGCACGCTGTTTACCCAGGACAATGAATGGCGGCTACTACACCAATGTGTGTGGTGCGGTACCCACGCCCTGGTTCTGAGCCGACAGCTGCGAAAATTTAATGAATGAATCAAAACTGGTATGTATCAATTGATGCTGCGCTCCTTTTTTTTTTTGTTCATTATCCTTTTGACAAAATCGATTCGCTACGCTGCACAGTGGACAGGATTTAATAATACTAAAAAAAAAAAGAGGGGAGACTAGACTATAAATCAAAGGGTGTTACGTATGAAATGTGAAACCAATCGCTGCAATTTGAAAAATTGATTAAAATTTCTTATTCAAGTGATAGATTCATGAAAATTGAATTATCTTCACCAATTAAAATAAAAATGTAAAATACGTAATTATCTAAAAAAATGTTAAAAAAAAGAGATAAGTTTTTGATCAACATGTTCTTAATGGACATTTCTTGATTGCTGATGATTGCATAAGTATGTGTACGTATCAACAGAGGTGTTCGCGTGGTTGCCTATGTGGCAACGTCTGGATGATATTCGGGATCAATAATCCAGAGCTATCATGTTATGCAGGGTGATATAATTCTGACGCCACCGCCGCCGCCTCCTGGTCGGTCTGCCATTGCTTGCGATGGGGGGCAACAACCTTCGCACCGGATGGTCTTGATAATGCAGGCTGCAAATTCCGGGTGACGATGACAATGGAACTTCCGGGATGGATAACAGTTTCCCCACCCCCCAAAACAACAAGAAACCGTCTTCTCTCGCGATACATAATTTCTTGACAAAAATTTGAGGCACGTCGCGCCTCGTGGTCACCAATAATAGATGGCTTTTGGTCATTTTGACTAAGTTACATTTATAGAATCTTAATGGTGGCAGAGAGAGACCATAACAGATTTATCGGTATAGTGGACAAGACAAGCCCCTTTACATACACACACACAAACAACTACACAAATATTACACATTTTCACGGCAACAGGCGCACATTTTAATGGAGAAAATAATGCCACCATAAATTATTCATCGGCTGCGTTCGCATAGTTTATCGTTTCCTTATTATCCGACTTCGTTTAAAAGGAACAAAAACAAGACATCTCGATATCAAAACATATGCTCTAATCATCTTATTATCTAATACAAATGTTTAGTAACAAAAACATCATTATTCTATAATAGTCATTAAGATCGTAATTATTCATACAAAAATCTTAAGATTATAATTGATACAATTTAATTTCAAGATGATATAAAGTTAAAAAAATATATAATATTATAAGAAATTTCTATAAAATACAAAATATATTTTGTTAATTATATATCAAATTTCAAATTAATTAATTGTATATTATTATTGATTTGTGTTAATATGAAAGCGCACAATTCAAGGACTTTAAAACATTTTAGATCTAAAAAAAATAGTTTGTTTTAAAATTTACAAATCATGTAAATCTGCACTGGTTGAAGTATCACTATGGGAAGTTTTGATATATTGTGTATATACTTAAATAATGGTAACTTACGTATCTTTTTCTAAAGATAACATTTAGTGATTTGATTTGTTTTTCGACTGGTTTGCGGTGATGCGATACGAGTTTTAAACGCAAATATTTGAGGAATAAATAAGTAGACACGAATCTGAGGGTCTCGATAAACAACAAACAGTGCACAAAACCATTTGGCGATCTTCCAAATATTTATATTCCGAACCCTCTTTGTGAAAACAACAAGCAAAAAAAAAATTAAATACAATCAAACAACAATAAATTTACGTGTTGTTGTAACTTAGTACATGTAAAAATATTGCGCAAATTAGAAATATGGTTGAATTGTTGATCTCAAATTAAACGATTGAAATAAATATATGACAAAAGGATTTAGATTGTATTTCAAGGAAAAGGGAAGCACGGAAACAGGACTTTGCCGCATCCGTTTAAAACGAAGCCCCGAAGTTCGGCGGAACATGGGACCGTCATAACCTTAGGGGCGACAAGTCTCTACCCTATTTAAACATGCAAGCTAGATTATTCGAAGGTAAAAATGAGAAAAAAGTCCTTCATAAACTGATTTTGTAACTCACAACAAATATTTGTTCACATATAGTAAAAAAACATACTTTCTACTTCTATTAAAGTTATACATTAATTGTTATGTAATTAGAATTGATAGGTGAAATCAATTTGAATTATTTCCGACAATGCAAAATTTTAAAGAAAAAAACATGTTTTTTATTCATCTTCGTGTATAATGAATGGACACATTTAAAGTAAGTTAAATTCTCGCAACATTTGTCCATTTAATTTTCCTCATACAATTTTTAAAGTAGTTCCATTGTACTGCAAATGTCGAGGGTGCAACGCGCTCATTGTCTCAAATAACCCTTTTTGTTCCTCCGTCGACGCCATATGGCGTTCGCGTTCAACATTGCAAAAGTCCTCCTTTTTTGTAAATGAATCCACATAAATACTACACATTAAAGAATATACAACTACATAAATAATTAATTAACTAAAAGCGTGTTGTGATTTTGGATTAATTAGAACTTAATCATAATGTAAATCTGAAAAGGATTATATAAATTATTTACGTTTTGCATAATTCCAGGACGAATTAACCAACGATTTAATGTCACGCGAAAAACGGGCATATCTCTGAGGGTACGTTGTATAAAATATACTTTATATTTGGGTGAGCATATTGGATGAGCGGCATACAACCACACCCCTCGCAAAAATCAATAACAGTGTCTAGGTTGGGGATGCGCCGAGCCCTGTAGGCAACACTCAACCAAAAGAAAAGCTGGATAAAAGTAAGACAAAGCTAGAGAGAAAAAAATCCATTTCAAAATTAACCCCGAAGGCCTCGTTCTCTTTATGCTTTGCTACCTTTGATCATCGTAATTCAGTGCTTGACACTAACGGAGTGGTGAAAACTTAGGTAAATCCAAGTTTTCATCCCCCAACACAAAGCGGCATTTTTTTTTTGACAATAACATCAATCACAAGTTTATAGTTTTTGTTGGCGACGTTAACTGAAAAATAAATAGTGTGATTTAGTTGGCAAGTTATTATAGAAATCACGTGAAATAATTTAAAAAAAAAAGCTGAAAGTTTTCGAGACGTGCCAGAAATAAGGTAGCCCAGA